AATCAAAAAAAGGTTTCAGTAACTACTATCACTACACCTAAAAAAAATCATGTCAATTTATTTTTTAACCCATCAAGTAAACTATATCTAGAATGAAAAAGAACAAAACGAAGACAATTGTGTAGAAAAAGAATGAAACTAAAAACAATGGACAAAGTAATTGAATGACAAAATCAATCGAAACTACAAAATAAATGAAATTTTAATGAAAATTCCCATTCGATGCATATTGCATTTTTGTTATTATTTAGTAATCAACGAGCAGACAGATTGAGAAGAACACTTTTTTACTGCTTCCATTAAGTCTGCACATATTCTTAAAAATTTCTCTCAGTTTTATGCGTGTGCTGCTTGTTGAAATGAGGAAAGCTTGTATATTAGATCTCTCTTAGTTTTGAGGCATGTATGGTATAAAACTAATTAAATAAGCATTAGTTTCAGCACATCCATTATAAATACCAACATAACTTCAAGTACGAATCTCAACAAAATTTCAAGGATTTGATTAAATGCACAATTTATAGAGCTACGTCCGCAAAACTCGACCAAAAATTGCTTCATTATGCATGCAATTATTTAAACATTCTAAATATATGTGAAAATAGTTATCAAAACTATTTCTCAAAACTAAAACTTAAATGACTGGACAGAGGCTTGTTAAACATTAATCCTGAGTTCTTCTATTGGAAATATCTTAACCAATATTAAAATAATAACTATTAAAACGTCTTTTCAGATGTACCTTAAAGCTTTTAAATAGATTCACGTAGGCTCTTTCTGTTTTTTTCTATGAAAAATTTTCAATGGGAATTTTCAAAAATAGATTTGAAAATTTTCATTTTTACTGTGACAGTATCCCCCCAATTAAATAAAATTACAATTTTCAATTAATTTATTTCATAGTTCTGCGAATTACTTGCATACGTTTTTATGCATTCTTTTTTTTCTAATGCTAGTTTCCTTTGAGTGTGCTTTGAATGCCTTAAATTCATTTTTTTAACTTTACAACTCAATTATTTCAATATAATTCCTCTCTTTAAAAGTAATAACTAGTTTTGCGTACAAATACTTGATTAAGCTTTCGATTGGATGTTAGCTGTAAAGTTAGCCAAAATATAAACAGAAAATTATTGATTTTCATAAGAAATTCTTCTGAAGACTATGTAGTATAATTCTCTTGCAAGCAAAAAGATACACTTGTACGCAAGCACTAGCTTAAACTCAGATTTTCATGTTTTTCGCGATGAAACCAATTTAAGAAAGAAAACAAATTGCTCAAAATTTTGTTCTCAGACTAAAAACAGTTGATACAGTTCTCATAACCAATCAAAACATTTGAAAAACACCTATGCATTTTGGCAATTTCATTAAATACCTAAAAGAGGATAACAATTTATCGTGAATTTGAACAAAAATCATTACCAAATAACTCGTTTTAAATTTGCTAAAATAAGGCAAACTTAAAACATGTATAATCTTAAAATATAAATAATTTTAAATAAATTCGATTTAATTTGGTTTTTAACAAAAAATGTTGGGAAACTTCAAAACCAAATTGGCAGAATTGAATGTATTTCAAACATTTTTAAAACTTATTTAAGTACGCGAGGCTAATATTGACATCTATATCATGTTTGAGAAGTAATTCGTATTGTAACATTTACGAATTGAAAGCTTTAAAAGAACTTCTTCTTGGTGGAACGATAACAAAAGCTCCTGAATAATACACACGTACAATAATTCTGACATGTGAAAATATATATGCGATTCGAAAACGAGGTTACGTAACTATCAGACGCTGACTCGATGTTGAAATTTGATTTCCAACAGGCGAAACTCGAATTCTCATGAAAGTTGAACTCATGTAGTTGCAATTATTATTCCGACAATGTAACTTCATACTTTGCGTATGAAAACATAAGAGTATCTAATATTTTATTTCAGTCCTCTAAATAATAACAGTATTGCTATCAAATCTTAAAATTGAACTGCAAGACCATTTTCAAATTGCTGAAGAAACATTAAAAATGCTTTACTAATATGGCAAAGTAATATAATGAAAAATATGCAATTTAAAAAATATACAAAATGTAATTATTAATGAAATTCAAAGAAATACATAAGGTGTCATGAAATTCGATATTTTATTACTCATTTTTTTGTTTTATGTCTTTTTTAGTAAAAGCTCGTTTCAATAGCGATTCTAGTAAAAGATCATTGAAGAAATTGCAAGCTTAATCGTCTGTTCAAATGTTTGGACATTTACAAAACGACGTGATATCTCGGGTGAACTTTTAATGATCAAAGCATTATCGTCAGGGCCATTGAAGCATCATCGATACGTGTTTATTTCCTATTTACCGAGCTTGTCGCTGCTGCCGACATCGCAACAGTTATATTTCCGATCCCATAATAATAAGGCATTGTTGCCAATGTTGCCCAGCAAGAAAGAGGAAAATCGTGACGATGCCAAGCAAACTTTTTAAAGCGACGATGCAAGCCCAATGGGATACATTACCTACTTGCCAGACGACGAAAATGACGCTCTGCAACGTGAGGATAGATAAGAAAACCATGTTTTCGTCTATACTTATCGGGTAAGCTTAAAAAGCGTTAGCTTTAACTTTAACTAATTTCACAATTATGCTGTCTCTTGCATTCTTATTTATCTCTTACTTTTATCATGGTACCTTCAATATATAACATCTGATTTTAACTTACGTTGCATAAATAATATAGATAAAATAATATATTACTCATTCATTGTTACAAAGTCAGAGAAAATGTAATAAAAAAAATTTTTAATAATTTTTAACTGTTTCCTTTTCATTTTACATTGGGTGAATACAACTTTCTATACATTTTTATCGTTTAACAGATAAAACTTGTAAAAAGTGACCAAAATAGACACAATTATCATTTTTCTAGATAGTACGTTTGCCTATTATTTAACGCAAAAAACCTGAATTTATTCAATGGTATTATTACTTTTATTTGAGATAAAAGCAATAAATTTACATTTTTGTCAACTTTCTACGATTACTGAAATTTTAAAATAAGTTTTTCCTTTCATTTCAAAAATTTTGCTTTTTATTTTAATGATAAAATCTCTAACAAACATTTAAACTGTAGAACCCAGGATTTGTGAAGACTTTCTTGGAACATAACAGTCATAACCTTGGAAGAAATGATCAAATTTATTGGGTTTCCAATAAAAAGTATTCATTTTAAAGTGCTAAAGCCTTTAAAGATTATAAACATAAAGTCGGTAACACGAATGAGAAAAAATTAATTTTGGCACTAATTTATATGCTTGAAATACGGGAAATAAGTAGGCCTGAAGTTCGATTGCAGAAGAAATTGCGTTATAAAAAACGAGAGTATTAAATAAAATTAAAATTGATTTTGAATTTAAAACGACCATACAATTAATATATAAGAAATGTAGAAGAATGAAGTACGAGGGGTAGAACTATGCAACTGCCAAACAATTTTTAAAAATTCAGACTTCTTTGATTACCATCTAATGTACTGTAGTTATTTTAAGTAACAAATGTAAAATAAATAACTCAGCTCAACAAACGTATAGACGAATTCCAAAGCCCTTAATAAAAATCAATAAGTGAGGAAAGGAAACGGTATTTCAAATGAAACAATTTGCAATTTTTTAATATTTCGAACGAAAGTCACAATAGAGCTCAATGATCAAGAAATACCTACAAAGATTTAATCCACGAGACCTGCCTGTTATCCAAAAATACGTAAACAACGACAAAAATATACCGTCATAGTCATCAGCGTACGTTCAAACTTATCTTTTCTTTCATCAGAGATGCTCCGTATTTTTGCTGTCTACAACGCTTTCGCGCTTCGGAACTTTGGAATCCAGCGCGATCACGGTGGCCATTTATAGATATACGCGCCGCGAGAAAATAAACTGGAACACAACAGCGAAACGATACATTCGAAAAATTGGTTACGAGTGAAAAGCTCGAGCTCGAGAACTGAAAAAATTTCATGGCACTTCTGAACATTGCGAAATTCAAACTGCTACGAGAAATAAATGTATGGAACTGATGGTGGCTTGCACGTTGCATATGTTCCAACATTTTTTTAAAGAAATTTTTTCAATACTTTATTGAATTAACAAGAAAGTATCGCAAATTCATTTAACCTTCGTTAAAATCATTCACATGTTTCTAACTGTAATATTGCAAACACATACAAATCTGCGAGTTAACGTTTTTTAAATATACTTTTCTACACAAAATAACGAGTTACAAAAATAGCATGTAAACTGTAATCGCAGTTTCTTTTAACTTTTTTACAGAAGTCTTTAAAGAATCATGCATGCAAGCGCCTAGTTAAGTAATCAAATATTAAAAATACAACCGTGGAAGCATAAAATATTAATTTTAAAAATACTCATTTGAGTCGTTAATAAGCCAGGGTAAAGTGTAGTAAATTAGCTCTTTTTTTTCATGGCGCTTAAATTTGATATTACGCTTGTCTATTGTTTATCTTACGTTTAAGGCCGTGAAATTTTATTTGAAATATTATGCATATTTTTTCAATATTAACAATGTGAATTCTCAAAGCTAAAGATAATTATATGAACTTGAAAAATTGCTAAGATTAATAACTCAAAAAAAAAAAGAATTTGAAAAAGAATAAGTCTTAGCTTAGATCAAAATATATCCCATCTAAGAGCTTAATGAATGAAAAAAAGTACGAAATAGAATTGAACTGTTGTAAGATTTAGCTTCAACTTAATCATATCGAAAGTCGCAGTAAATGATTGGCATAAGTCCGATTTTTGGCCAGTCAATGCAGTTACGATCAAGCGTTACTTCTTCGACGATCTATTCGGGGCCAAATGTTGCCATTGAGACTTGTCTCACTGAGTTTGAAACAGAGGCGAGCCTGTTGGGCTTTGCCACGGCTGGTCAAGCGACGAGGTTTTTTAAATGCTGGAAACCTTAAAATAGATATCTATAGCTAAGTAGCCCGATGGAGCGAGCTCCGGGCGTGGAGGAGGAGAAGACGAAAACGTTATACACGCAGTCCCGACTGCTGTGAGACTTTTTATTGGGGTGGTGGCAAGTTCGACCTGTTAAGAAGCACTTGGAAGAGCTGCGAAGCGTCAGAGTCGCTGTCGAAGGGGACCTCACATTACACGGCCAAACTCCAACACGAAATCATCGTAAACGCGAGCTCTTTTTCGTTTTAAAGCTCCAGATGTAAGTTTAAATTAGACGAATGTCGTACTGCTGCGCCATCATCTCATACATCGAACCATAATTTCATAGCATTTACTCGTAATTATTTCATTTTCATCAACACATTTTCTCATTCAATCATTCGAGTTATCTTTTGGTGTTATCAATTGAGAGTTTTGAAGTCGAATTCGTTTCCAATAAAGTGATTGTGCCCGAAGATAAGTTCTAATTTAAAAAAAGTGATTCCATACCGATCAGGACCTGCAGCAAGTGGCAAGTGCACTGTGAGAAGTAATCGGTTATTGAATCACAATTTCCAAAGAAAGGGGAGTTACAGAGTAAAGGACGAGAGCTACTATTTCAAGTTAATCTCTTTTCGTGTCGGTGTTACTGTGTAAAAAGCTCATGAGTGAATCAAATTTGTAAATGTAGTCAAAATCTTACCATTGTACATAATACAAATTGTACTCGTCAAATTATCATTACTAGATTAATTTTATTGTTAATCTATGAAATGAGTGCGTCATCAGTGTAGCTGTGCTGTGTAAAAAGTTATTGTAGGCTTTCAAAAGAAAATTTCGAACTGTTTAAATGATACGATTTAAATTGGAACATTCAATATTAGTAGTGTAAAGCATGTTGATGTTTACATGATAACTTCGTGTGTTTAAAGGTTGCCTCTAAAATTAGATTTGCTTTGTAGAAAGATCGATTTTATACAAAATCAACAAATTCTGGAAAATAGAGCTCAGAAGGGAGGGGGATTCAGGAAATAAAAACATTTCATAAAATTTGATTATTGCAATTATTATAAGTTCTTTTGAACTATCTACAATTTTTTTCATAGGCACAAAACTTTAAAACAAAATATCTTTGAGCAAATTTCGTTCTAAAAAGAAGATTCGATTTCTAGAACTCATTTACACTTTTTTGTTGCAGCACACACTAAACCCCCGCAACCATGTCGGACGAGGAACAATATACGTAAGTAACTATAAGTTGTATTGCATTTCCTTACCGAGCTTAGCGCTGCTCAAACTTCCGTAAGAATAAATCGCAAAAATGTATACGTACGCCGAAAAGCGCCGATGACATCATGTTTATTTTTGTGTTTTATCCGGTATAAAAATATTTTCTGCACCCATCGCTTGGGTTGCCATTACTTAGAGTATTTATAGAAAAATATAAAGATTTTGAATAACAAAATCTTTGCCTGGGGGCGAAGATCGGTGATTTCAAAATAGTTAAACAAATATCTTCTAAACTCGGTTTGGCTGGAATTCGAATGAATAGTTATCATATATTTATAGATTTTTTTTGGGTCATTGTACAGCAAAAAGAACTAATAATTATGAGTAATTTACGTTTTTTTTCTAAATAATCGAATTCATCGTAAAAAATGTAATAATAGAATCCTCCAATATTATTCATTGCGACTGAAGCTATGCAAGGTTGATTAATGCTAATTCTATAATACTTCACAGTAGCAGCGAAGAGGAAGTTGAAGAGGTCGAGGAGGAAGAGGAAGAATCCGAAGTTGAAGAAGAAAAAGAGGCTGCAGTCGAAGAGGAAGTGTAAGATACAATTTATTTCGATCACCTTTATTTATTCTCTTTCCTTCTAATAAAATTTCTCGTTTTCTTTGGTTCATTACAGGAAGTAAGTTATCCTTCTTCCATCGATATTTTTATCATTCATAATTTCCGATTTCTTTTTTTATAATTTTTCCTTACTTCCAACTTTTCTCACTTTGCACAACTTAAATTACACATCTCATTCATTTACTTTTTTAAAAACGCTGGTACTGTCGATATAAACGCAATCTTATGTTTAAACTTTACGTGAACTCTAAAAAAAGTTAGCTAATACATGGCGATTCGTATATATTACATCATAAAATTATAAACTAAAAAACTTAAAAATCGTACGATTTCCAACCACTCATAAAAATAAAATCTTATACGTTCTATTAATAAAAACATCATCATAAAATTGTTTTCCCAAAAAATTTCTCAGCTTTATGCAAACTCGTCGCTTTGATAATCGAGTGAAAAATGACATCGAAGCAGTTGAGAAACGCGAGAAAGAGAAAATAAAAAAACATGTATTCTGTAATACCGGCTGGTTTAAATATAGTGTACGCTCCACAAAAATAGAGCAGCGCGCGGTCGTCCGGTGCGCGGGAGGGATTAAAGCTCGCTATTCAAATACGAATATAGTCACTGAGTCGTTGAAATCAGTCGCGGAAAAAATAGCCAGATATTGGCGATAATTATTTTTTGTTGTAGCGCGTAACGCGTCGAGTTTTACAGGCGGCGCCTCGATGAGGTTGCGTGCTCGCGCCGCATCGTTCTGCTACGAAACGATTCTCAATTTTTTACCAAGCAGCGAATTTCCTGTCAAGTTCTACTAATACATTTATACCTTCTAACAAATTCCTCAAATGGATAAATACGCCTCAACCTGATCCATTTAAAGTAAATGACATATTTTACTTGGGGAATTTTTTATTTGTTCAATTTTCATTCCATCGATGATGTATGGAAAAAACAACAAATCAATTACTATGTTCACCGATCAACATGACAACTTTATTGTGCAATCGATTTTATATCAAAAAACAGGCATAAGAAGATCATCGAGTAAGTGGGCCACCAGAATTCATCTGTCGCATGACGCATCCCGCAATTTACTCTCTGATTTGTCTTTTATTTTAATTTTTGGTTAATCTTTATGCACTTAAAAATTTTCTTATCAAGGCACTGCTACAATTTTTTTTACCGCAACTTAATGGCAATTTCTTTCTGGCTCTTTTCTTTTGGCCATTAACTATGAGAATCGTACGCTTGAGAGTACGCATACTTTATTAAATTACGAATTTTTATATTCATTTTATCAAAATTGTTTCATACAGCGAAATTTTCTTTAGATTTTGCACCATCAAAAAAAATCATGATTTTTGTATCATTTACAAACGATATTTTGTCATATTTTTAATAATTTGTTTTTAATAAAAAAACAGATCTAAAAACTTACTGTTATGTATATATTTCTATATGACATTATCTTTCACACACACGCCAAGTGCCATTTAAACTCTTACTTATTTTATTCATATCACTACTACTACAATAGATTAAGAAAGAAAGCATTAATTTTTCTAAAACAACTGCGTTTAGTAACCATTGTATCGGGTCAAATATCAATTTCTCACAAAAAGATTAAAGAAATGCATAATCAGTTTAAAAGCTTATACAATTCGTAAATAGTTAACGGGATGAAGAAGCGTTATAATTAATACATGTTAATATAGTTGATTTTATATTACACGTGCTTGCTCAAAAAATAAGTCGCCTGCAGCAAATATTAATTATATTTTGATATACATGCGTAATGCAGCATGACGCATTTTAAGATTCAATAGTAAACATTTTCATTCTCATAAAAGCATGCAAGAATGTCTTTTTTCCATTGCTAAATAAATGAAAGTTTATCTAAACATGAAAAATTATTAACGAATATATTATTTCTATTTTTGTAGGACTAGAGCGTCCCAGAAGTAAGTTTTATTTTTTAATTGTGCATGTAATATTGCACTAAATGTTGTAACTACTCTTTTCGTTGCAAGTGCCGTTTAACTAATCTGCTTTGTGGCGAAAAAGCTTAGGCAAGCATAAAAAGCTCATATTTGTTTATTTACTTGAAAATCTTACGAATTGCACCTTGATTATTCGATTAAAAAATATTAGTTGCACTTACACTTTCATTCCAGAATATCCACACTACATGCCTAAGAGCCTTGAGCTTTATTGACCAAAATATTTATCGTATTTCAAATTTCTAATGGCATCAACTATACATCTAAAGTATTGCAAATAATTGAATCATATATCAAAAATTTTTATGCATAATTTCGTAAACTTGCGGCTCTTACATACATTAATACGCTGCAACCTGATGCCTAAAAATAGTCTATAAATACTTTTCGAACTTTTATGCATTTTTTGCTTCTCAAAAAATTTGATAAATGGGATCAAATTTTCCAATTAAACAAGTAAAGTTCAAATTTTTGAACAATGTCAGGCAATTGGTATGTCTGGCACGCATCTAATGCAGAATAAACATTTATTTACAGACTAATTGCTATTAAATCTTATAGATAAATTATCATATATGAATATTAATATACATGCACTTTTGCTTCTTGGTGCCTGCGTGTCTCTTTCGAACCAATAGAGAAAACGATGATGGAGCTGAATTTGTGCGGGTAAGTTGTGAAATCTTTCCTTGCCAAACCCTAACTGAAACCTTTGTACCGTTCAATAAGTTAAACTAAAAAATAAATTTTTTTTAATAGATTCAGGAACAGAAGAGGGTGGACCTCGATGAACAACTTAAGGACTACATTTCCGATTGGCGCAAACACAAACTTAAGGAAGAAGAAGAGCTCAAGATCTTGAAGGAAAGACAAGCCAAGCGCAAAGTAACCCGCGCCGAGGAAGAAAAACGTCTTGCTCAAAAAAAGAAGGAAGAAGAAGAACGTCGCCTTCGCGAAATCGGTAAGTTTTTATTGGTGAAAGCGATATTTTGACTGGTATCAAAAAATTAACCAATCATTTAATCGTAGAGGAGAAAAAACAGCGTGACATCGAAGAAAAGAGACGACGTCTCGAAGAATCTGAGAAAAAACGTCAAGCTATGTTGCAAGCTTTGAAAGATCAAACAAGCAAAAAAGGACCCAACTTCGTTATCCAAAAGAAAAACCTCGATGTAAATATTATATTTTTAAATACTGTCATTCTCCAATTCGTATTTGACCCGATGATTATGAAATTCCAGGGCAATTTGAGCTTGTCGCAGTTGGAACGCAACAAGACTAAAGAGCAACTTGAAGAGGAGAAGAGAATATCCTTAAGCATCCGCATCAAGCCCTTACCCGAACTCGAGTATTTGGGTATGGAAAAATTGCGTTTAAAGGCTCAAGAACTATGGGATCAGATTGTCAAGCTTGAAACTGAAAAGTACGACCTCGAAGAACGTGAAAAACGTCAAGACTACGACGTATGTAATCAAAATTTTATTAACTTTACCGTGTTCCTAATCGTCTTGGCTGATACTATTATTATTTTTTTTAGCTTAAAGAACTCAAGGAGAGGCAAAAGCAACAGTTGAGGCACAAGGCATTGAAGAAAGGTTTGGACCCTGAAGCTTTAACTGGTAAACATCCAGTGAGTATTTTTCAACATATAATTTGGTTATTATATAATCACTATAGATTATTAACTTTTACCTTACTTTATTTCAGCCTAAGATACAATTGGCTTCCAAGTACGAACGCCGTGTTGATATTAGGTCTTATGACGACAAAAAGAAACTTTTCGATGGTGTAAGTATTTCGCGCACGTAAATGATTGCATTTGTGAAAAAAAAAACGAGCAGTTTTATAAAAAATGAGCTTAATGTGAATTTTTTACTGATCATCTACATGTTATAGGGTCTTACTGAAGCACTAGAACAAGCCAAGGAGAAAGCTTGGTCATCGCAAACAGACCAATTTTTACAACGTCAAAAGTGTAAGTGATCTTGATTTATTTTTGTTTGCATTGTAAATAAAGTGTTCGACTATTGATTGTTGCTCATTACAGCAAATCTTCCTAAATGGTTTGGCGAGAGGCCAGGTAAAAAGAAGGATGATCCAGAATCTCCTGAAAATGAAGAAGATGCCAAAGCTGATGAATTAGAGGAGCCAAAGTATGATAGCGAAGAAGAAAAAGAGGAGAGCGAGGAAGAAGAAGTTAGCGAAAAGGAGGAATCAGAGGAAGAAGAAGAAGAAGAAGAGGAAGAAGAGGAGGAGGAGGAAGAAGAGGAAGAGGAGGAGGAAGAGGAAGAAGAAGAGGAGGAGGAAGAAGAGTAATACTGTTGATCACTGCCAATACCAAAGATTTATACTAAATTTAACATCTATATATCAGCAGCTATCATCGTCTTCCTTGAAATACGTAATGTTAAAAAATGTAAATCGAAAAATGTTACAAAACTATTTGATGAACTATTATACGTTTTATTTGTTAAAAATTTTTTCTGAAAAATTTATTACACAATAAAAAGGACGCTTTTATCAGAATCTAATGTTAACTTAAAAAGAAACCAAAAATATAAATATGAAATAATAGATAAGGTCTTTTAGTATAGTTTGATATATTCTTTCATTCGAAATATATGATATGAAATTATAATTATATGATTTATACAACCATAAATATAATTGTGAAATTTGTAATGTGTCAAACATTTTTTTCACATCTGCATGTTGTCTTTCCGCCTTAAATTTTTATATTTTTCACTTTAAAATCGAATTGAGCGATTGACTTTCACCAAATTGAGTTGATAACGAACAGTGAAGTAACTATTAAATTTAGTAACTAACTAAAGTCACCAAATTTTTCGAAAATTCTTTAATGAAATAAATATTAAAATTCATAATTCAGAAAGCTATTCCTGTTGTTGTAATTACACCACAAATATCAATATCAGAAAGAAATTTACTGAAATTGTTTTATTCAATTTTTCTTTTGCGGGAATATTTCTCTGCATGTATCGCTTGTATGCGTGAAGAAATTGTGCACCTGCAAGAATGACGTTTTCACGCCAATTTTGGTGAAGTTTCAATTTCATTCGAGTACCTTTATGCATCGCAGTACATTACTGAGAATGGTGAAAGTAGAAAACCCTTAAAGTGTGATTTTCATGGCAAATCATTTTCATGCCACGGTAACCTCGAGAAACATTTCAGTTCAGAACATGATTGCAACAAACTTTATTGAAAGACAAGGGCGACCTAAAAATTCACATAATGGCGGTACATAACTAGAGCCAACACTTCGAATGTGATATTTTTCACAAATCGTTTGGATACCAGAATGATCACTATACTCACTTTAACCTCAAGCGTTACATCAAGAAACACATTAATTTTGTACATGATAGCAAAAAACCCTTTGAATGTGAGATTTTTCACATGTCATTTGGACACCAGAGAATCTCAAAAGACACATGAATACAGTACATGATCGTATTATACACTCAAATCATTTGGACGTCGCAATGAAGACTTCTTCATTCTTCGGTAATTTTGGAAAACAATATATTTTATAATCCACTAAAGACCATCGAAGTTTCATAATTAAATCATTACTTTCGTATTATGAGTACTATTAGTCAGAGGTATGTTTGAGTATTCGCTTTTTAGATTTTTATTTGATTCGAACCCGTCAAATTCAAGTCGAGTCCATTTGAATACCCAAATGTTTTTATGTACTTCAACTTTTTTCTTACTGAAATAGTCATGTTCTTATCATTAAAAAAATTGAAATTCATTTTTTCAATTTATTTATTTGAATGATATAGAATGTATGCAACATTAAATTATAACAGACATAAAAATTATTGCAAATATGCTTATTGCCATCAAGAGCTTTGGTATGCAGCTGCCAAGCAAATACGCCACAAATCCTTGTTCATTAACTTCTCAATGATCATTTCACAGCAAAGAATCGGAAGGCGGTAGCGCGTCAACTCCAAGAAAGAATCCAGTGCCCATTGCCGAAAAAATTTTCGAGACATCGTCTCACACAGACCCAAAACACAAGTCTTAATATACCCTTGTGGGAGCTTATACAATTTTTCCGAGCAAGCGAGCGCGAAGTAGTCCGAATAAGTGAGAATTTTCGCCGCCTCATTAGGTCGTAACTGGATCAAGTCGTAAAGGGATAAGCTCGGTTTCATCATTATGTTTTCTGCTCCTATCACTAACTTCTCGACATCGTAACAATATTTGTTAAAGTCCACCGACTTTTCGAAAATTCCGTGCTTAGCGAAAACTGCCATGAGCGTCAAAGCGTCGCTTCGCTTCATTTCGTATCCTTTTTTCTCTAGGCGCTCGACGATACCCAGAGCACCAGATATTAATTTCAATTTAAAATTATTATCATCTCGCCATACTTCAAAGCACTCGTCGAAGTGACTCTCGGTAGGAAAAACGAAACTTGAAAGATCAGCACCTTGGTCCAGGACCATACCGACAGTATTCAACAAAAGATATGTCACAGCATAGTGTAGTGGTGTACGACCTAAATTGTCCACAGCGTTGACATTCAATGGCTGATTTTTTTCATGGTTGATCTTGAAAAATTGTTCCGAAAAGTCACCTAGATAGTATTTTTGACACATAATGTGCATAGGAGTCAATCCTTCCAGGTCGGCCAAATTCGGATCGGCACCTTTTCTGAGCAACAATTCGGCCACCTTCTTGTTGCCAGCGAGCAGAGCCCATTGAAAAGGTGTCCTCCCATATGTGTCCTTCGCATCCACCTGCCCTATCTGATTTTTTTCGTCGCTGATCTCGAATAACATCTTCGCCAATTCAACATCGTCGCTTCTTGTCATACAAATCTTGTGCAGAGGAGTCATTCCGAACATGTTGATCAAATTCGGATCGGCACCATTTCTCAGCAGCAATTCGGTCATCTCTTTGTGATATTGGCTCACAGCCATGTACAACGGCGAATCACCTGTTTCTAGACAGATGCAATTGGGATCCTGGCCGAGCTCGAGGAATTTCTCCACGATGTCCTCGAAGCCTGCCCTGCATGCCACATGAAAATGTGTATGGCCCGACTTCTCATCGATGTAATTAACGTCGAATCTGTTGTATATTTTAAAAAGCTCACGTAAGGTATTAGCTTTGTTGCAAAAATTACGTGCACACGCACGATGCACTGCAGTGGTACGACGCAACAGTGGCTTGCCTCCTTTATCAAATTTGGGCTCGTCTTTGTAGCCTGTGCGAATCACAAACTCAATGAATCGTTCTCCTCGACAATCATTTCGATCTCCACAATAACTGACGGAGTCCGAGAGAAGATCATCAATTTCTTCGTCGCGAAAGATGACTCGGAGATTAGGAAGTTGGCTTTTCCAATGTCTGATTGAATATGCCATTCGGCGGTGAAATTCTTGACGCTCTTTTTCAACATCCCAATGGAATTTTTCACGCATCCGCTTCAAACTATTTAATTTTTTTATATTAACGCGATTCATCGTGGATATCGTTCTGCGCACTCACAATTAAACGTTAAATGAAATTGTAATATTTTCACTTTTATTACGCAAATCACTTACTACAGTTGATGTGCGATCTTTCTTTGTTGTTTATACTGTTAAGTCGTAACGTGTATACTGATCTACACATACCCTACGATCTTTGTATAATAATAGTAAGCACTTGGTTGAAGCTATCAAGTATACAAGTAGCGCGAGCTATGTACAACAGTAGTGAGAGTCACCTGTGTGTATAACATATGTGGTAATAATAGCAATGGCAATCTCTAATTGTTTCCGAATTAAGCGACGCCGATTGTACTTACATGTCATTTGACCAAGCAACTTAAGAAACCCGAACACTCATACAAAACTCGGGTACTCGAAAAAAATTAAGCACTCTGAAATGATCTATATTTTGATGATTATTACGAACTTCAATAAATTAATAATAAATATTTTCAACAGCTGTAACTTCCTCTATTTATTTTATATTACCAATAGGATTTTAATTATTGTCAAGCTCAGAAAATAAATTAATTTGTAACATATGATGAGAATTTTTTTCACTGCAAATACCCTAAATTTTTTAAAGCGTAAAATATTCTCAAAGATAGATCGATTCGAAACAAGTAATCTGATTTTCAAGCAACTTTTCTTTAAAACTTGAAAGGTTCCTGGTTTAAATGTGCATACAAAAATTCAAGCGTAGCTTAGCTTTTTGGGCTAATAATTTAGTACAAGTCCACGTGTTAGTAAATTCTATTTATCCAATATAATTCAAAAAAAATTATTGTAACGAATAAAATAAATATCATTGGAATAGTATTTTACAACTTAATACTTTGTGATATTTAACAAAAATTTTCAATGGCATAGAGTACATCATTTTAAGATCTACAGCTTCAATTTTCAATTTTTAATGGAGTAAAATCAAATTTAAGTTATGTTACATATTCACTTTTTGAAACATCGTGCATTTGAAGACGTACAATTGAATTTATACCAAGTTTTGTGTGTAAAATTAATTCGAATCATTTATAAAAATATAGAGCCAAAGCTTGGAGTCATTATTATTCAAGAGTCGTAAATATTTTCTATGAAGTTTCCTCATTAACAGAGTGATTTTGAGAAACAGTTACACGAATTGTAAGAGCAACGTTGTAAGCCAGGCCAAGGTAAATTTTCGCCACTCGAACGAAGCAGCAGTAGGCTTTCCTTGCGATTCATCAAATGTGCATATGTGCACAGGTATATATTCTCGGAGACGGGGCAATGCCCGTTCTATATACATCGTTGGCGTGCGCTCGCGAATTCAGCGTTGAGAACAAAGCTTATCCTCGCCGGTTGCTCCGAGTTGCTTAATTGAATTCTCCGGCGTTCGCGCGAGCAGCAAAGGAGCTTTAGTATATACTCTTCTTTCTCCCTGTACGTGCGAAACCCTTCATAAGTATCCATTTCCTTCCGAGTCGCTTATGAGTGTATTATTTCGACGACTCGATGATCGGTGCGAATTTTCGCACAGGCATTTTTCTTGTGTGTTAAAACCATACTCGGAGTATCGTCACGACCTACGGATTTTCCGTTCAAAAATGAGAAACAGATACAAGTAAACTTTGTTGGGTATGCATTAGCTCAAAGCTGCAGAGCTATTGCTTCTGCAAACAGGTCTTCTTTTTTTATTCTGTATAAACTCATTACGAGCTAAGCCACACACACACACACTCACACTCTCATGAGTTAAGCTGAACACAGTGCCCGCGTATAGGCATGGCGAGAAAAAGGGGGCTTTTTCTCGCTCGTGCACAACGAAAACTATACTTTAACGCACAATGCGAGGATTAAGTGAAATACGGTCTCAATTAATGTTTAGAATCCCTGCCTACTACTACTCCTGGACGCAGCCTTGCACCATTCGAAATTGTCTGGAGTATATATATACTACGGTCTCATTATGATTGTTTTCGATTCCACCACCAGCCCCGCGTGGCTTTACGACTTTATAACGCGAAGTTTGTTTGTTGC